TGGGTTATCAAACTAAAATATGGATATGTTAACCTGGGTTCTATAAAAACCGAAAAACTGAGTTTATGTAGTGGTTTTTCCATACCAGTTTTGCACCTGAGCTCATGCCGCTGACTATAAACTTCAGCAAGACCCGCGACCGTGTGTTGTCCCTTGCGCGAGCGGCATGACCTGCTCAATGCCCATGGTGACAACTGCGACATCATCTATTTGACACCGTGGGCGGCGGTGTGATGTCTTCGGCGCGACCGGCGTGACCTCTCGGCACCCATGGCGGCGACGGCTGCGGCACCATGGACAACGACAGGTTGTCCTTGTGCAACGCCGCTCTTTAGCGTCCATGGCGACGGGTGCGACACCATCGACGACGACATGTTGTTCTCGACGCGAGCAGCGGCCTCCTCAACGCCTATGGCGACGGCTACGACATCGACTACGACATGGTGCTCCCGACGCAAGCAACGGGACCTCCTCAGCGTGGTGACGGGTGCGACACGCGCGCGCCGAAGCTCCATTTTACTCTGGATAATAGTCTCCCAGCTGAGACCATTGGCACGGTGCTCAGACGGCCCAGCGTAGGTGCCCTGCCATTGTCATTGTGAAGTGCGAGCGGCAGGATGAGTACGGATACTACTTCGGCCTTCCGGGTGACCAACATAGCATGTAAGAAGCTCAAATCCAACATCCACGGAATAATACTCGTGCGATTAAGCTCATGTTGCTTCCCGAACAAAGAACTACCTACATAATCATATTCTAATTTTCCTCGATCCTCAAACAAGAATGTATATATTTATCTCAACGAAAAAAGTAAATAAAACCGGTTTTCCTAAAAATCTTTCAAAAACTCGTTTTCCGCTGGCATCTAATTCTCCACATCCAAACAAACAAAGGAGGCCATTACGGTCGTAGGCAGTTGGCGTTTGAGGAATAGTACCTCAGTCGCGGTCGTAGGCTGTTGGCGCTCGATGAACGTGACCCTGTGGATGTTGTTTCGCGGTATGCCATACCCCAGCTGGTTGGGGGTCGGTGAACATGACCTCGTTGATGCCATCCCACCACAGCCGGCTGGCGCTAGATGAATAGAACCTCACCGCCTCCATGCCCCGCGAGAGAGGAGAGGGAGAGCGAGGGAGGGGAGTGACCAAGGGGTTCGACCCAGTCGCTTTAGACATAGGTCGTTAACGCCGCGTAGTCACCGTTGTCGGCACATGAGGGATTAGTCATGTTAAAACGTGCTCAGAAAATAGCTAAGCATTTTTTATTGTTGCCAGAAATCCGATTCGGCGCAAAATACCACGAATCGTAAAATTATGCTAATCGTGACATGAATGTGACGGTTGTGTGCATTTTACTTCAAAAAATGCGACGAGACCGCGTCGTACGGTGACGGGACGGCGGGGGGCGGAGCAACCGAGAGAGACGGAGAACCTGGCAGCAGCCTCGCGGAGCCGCAAACGAACGAATGGTCGCCACTCGCGGAGCCGCTCCGCGCGTCGGACAAACAGCCTCCCACACATCCCACGCCATCCCCCCATCCACCGTCGGCTCCTCCCCATCCGACGGCGCCGCGCACGCGCACGCCCCCACACGCCACCCTCGTGCGCCCTACGCCCTTCCAGAATCCTCCCGACGCCCCGCTCTCGTCGTCGTCTCCCCCCTCGACCCTAAACCCACCCTCCACCATTCTATCCCAAGTATAAACCCTAGCCCAGCCCCTTATCCTTTCGTCTCCCCCTCCCAGACACCGCGCCGGAACCCAAACCATCCATCCGAACGACCAACCACCAGCGAGCGCCGCGACAAGACCCCGCCCCTCGACGCCGTCTGCCTCTCCCATGGCGCCCGCGCTGAGCAGGACCCTGGGCCCGTCGTCGGTGGCGGCGCTGCGGCCGAGCCCGTCGCGGGGGCTGCCGCGGGCCGCGCTCGCGCCGCAGGGGAGGAGGCCCGCCGGCGCCAGAGGGGTCAGGTGGGAGGCCGGGAGGGGCCGGCTGGTCGGCGCGAGGTGCGCCTCCGCCGTCGCCGAGAAGGCCGCCGGCGAGGAGGAGGAGGCCGCCGGGGAGGAGTTCGAGTACCAGGCCGAGGTGGGTGGAGGGGCTCTAGTCCTTGTGTAACATCTGGTTGGATTTTAGATCCCGGAGCATTTGATTTAGGAGGCGAGACGACGAGTCGGTTCTGGATTGCTGCGCTCTGTAGTGCTTCATTTATTTACAGGATATAATATAATGATATTGACTGAGAGTCTGTTGCCAATTCGTTTGTGAGTAGGTAGGTTTTGACAGTTCCAGGATTGGATGTTTATGCAGTTTCTCTTTCTGTCCTGCAGGTTAGCCGCCTGATGGATTTGATTGTTCACAGCCTCTACAGCCACAAGGAAGTGTTCCTTCGGGAGCTTGTGAGGTCAGTCTTCTGCTCATCAAGATGTATGATAACTGAACCATTATTAGAATCTCTGCTGACTATCTGACCTGGACAATTTTTTGTTTTCACCCAGTAATGCGAGTGATGCCTTGGATAAGCTGAGATTTCTCAGTGTAACTGATCCATCCGTGCTGGCTGATGGTGGTGACATGGAAATAAGGATTAAACCTGACCCTGATGCTGGCACAATAACTATCACGTATGTTCTTCTCTATGAGCTTAGCAGTTCAATCATCAATTCTGATAGAAGTCACAACTCAGTCTCAGACCTATTGTTTTGGATTTTACAGTGATAGTGGCATTGGGATGACAAAGGATGAGCTCAAGGACTGCCTTGGAACTATCGCACAAAGTGGTACCTCCAAATTTTTGAAGGCTCTGAAGGTGCACCTCCTTCCCCATCTAGCTTCATCAGTTTGTGTTCTATGATGACCTTTTTCTTCATTGTTGATGTTGATGTCAATTTGCTTTCTCTTTTTTTCAGGAGAACAAGGAGCTTGGTGCAGATAATGGACTTATTGGTCAATTTGGTGTTGGATTTTATTCGGCTTTTCTTGTTGCAGAGAAGGTACGGACGGAATATCTATTGGATGGATGTTGCTGCATGTTTTGAGGAACAATTTCAAATTATTCGTACATCTGTTTTGCAAGCCAAAAGTAGTTTCAAACTTGTGGTTACTTGTTGCCTTGCAGGTTGTGGTGTCCACTAAGAGTCCCAAGACAGATAAGCAGTATATATGGGAAGCTGAGGCTAACAGTAGCTCATACGTTATCAGGGAAGAGACTGATCCTGAGAAAATGCTGACACGTGGAACACAGATTACTCTCTTTTTAAGAGTAAGATAAGAAGCTTATACTGATATTCTGTACAACCTTTTTAAGAGTAAGATAAGTCCTAACATGACTCTTAACTATACTTTTGTTCCTTTAGGAGGATGATAAGTATGAATTTGCTGACCCTACGAGGATTCAAGGTCTAGTTAAGAACTACTCGCAGTTTGTTTCGTTCCCCATTTTTACATGGCAGGAGAAATCTAGAACAGTTGAGGTAGGATTTTGAGTATGCTCTGCTTTAAAGTTTAAACCTCCAGTCATACTAAGTTTCGTTGGAATTGATATTTATTTCTTCTCTTCTGTGCACTTGTTACATCCTCTAAATAGGTTGAAGAAGAGGAGTCAAAAGAAGCCGAAGAGACAGCAGAGGTTAGCTTTATGTGCATTTGGTTGTCACTGATCAAACTAATCCATATTGTATATAAAAATAATCCCTCCTCTTTTGTAGGGTGAGAAGGAGAAGAAGAAGAAAACTATCACTGAGAAGTACTGGGATTGGGAATTGGCAAATGAAACAAAGCCAATATGGGTATGTTGGCACCCAAATTATTTGTTTCCATATCCTTATCGTTGGTACCTGCAGTGTAACTGTCATGTGAAACATGTCTTTACTTTAGTACTCCCTCCGTCCCAAAATTCTTGTCTTACATTTGTCTAGATACGGATGTATCTAATACTAAAACGTGACTTGATACATCCGTATCTAGACAAATCTAAGACAAGAATTTCGGGACGGAGGGAGTAGTTTGGTTTTTTGTTGGATATATATTGAAGAAACAGAAGCTGAAATGAATTTTCTTGTCATGTAGATGAGAAATCCAAAGGAAGTTGAGGAAACCGAGTACAATGAATTTTACAAGAAGGCATTCAATGAGTTTTTGGATCCTCTAGCTCATGCACACTTTACAACAGAGGTGCGAACACTTCCGAAACTAAACGTCTGTTATGTTAATGCACACCAAAAATTGACTTTTGTTGCAAACAGGGTGAGGTGGAATTTAGGAGTGTTCTCTACATCCCAGGAATGGCACCACTTAGCAATGAGGAGATAATGAACCCTAAGACCAAAAATATTAGGTTGTATGTCAAGAGGGTTTTCATTTCTGATGACTTTGATGGCGAGCTGGTATGTTGCCACAATTTTTTTATTCTGTTATTAGAGTTAGAAGCTACTGTACTTCTTTGGTTACTATGTTAACAATGTTGTAATGGGCCGCTGAACTTTAGTGTTATCTCTGCAGTTCCCCAGGTACTTGAGCTTTGTCAAAGGTGTTGTTGACTCGAATGATCTCCCTCTGAATGTTTCTCGTGAGATTCTTCAAGAAAGTCGTATTGTAAGTTACTGGAAAGCATTTGTGACTTAATCTGCAGTTGTTTACTTTAGTATGTGGTTCTTGGAACTAATTATCACCATCCATATGTTTCAGGTCAGGATCATGCGCAAGAGACTTGTTAGGAAGACTTTTGATATGATTCAGGATATTGCTGACAAGGATAACAAGGAGGTAAGAGTTAACATCCTCTTATTCCCAAGCTGTCATTTCATCGGGCTTGTCTTGAAGCTTGACGCGCTTCGTGCAGGACTACAAGAAATTTTGGGAGAGCTTTGGCAAATTTATGAAACTTGGTTGCATCGAGGACTCAGGGAACCAGAAGCGCCTTGCTCCTTTGCTGCGGTTTTATTCCTCCAAAAATGAAACGGATTTGATAAGTCTGGATCAGTATGTGGAGAATATGCCCGAGACCCAGAAGGCAATCTATTATATTGCTACAGATAGTCTTCAGAGTGCAAAGACCGCTCCTTTCTTGGAAAAGCTGCTTCAGAAAGATATTGAAGTATGTGCTTATCTTGTTGATCATAGAATTGATTTTCTGTTGTGCTACAGTTGGCTTAAGCTGTCACTATTTCATTTTTTTAGGTTCTCTACCTTATTGAGCCGATTGATGAGGTAGCTATTCAGAATCTGCAGACGTACAAAGAGAAAAAGTTTGTTGATATCAGCAAGGAAGACCTAGAATTGGGTAAGTGAATTTGAATTGTCATGTGATTGGTTATAAGCAGTTTCTGCATGACAATAACATATATTGGCTGTTGCAGGCGATGAGGATGAGGACAAGGAAGAAACCAAGCAGGAATACACTCTTCTTTGTGACTGGATAAAGCAGCAGCTGGGTGACAAAGTTGCCAAGGTCCAAATTTCGAAGCGACTCAGCTCTTCACCATGTGTTCTTGTATCTGGCAAGTTTGGTTGGTCGGCTAACATGGAAAGGTAGCTGGATGGTTCAATCACTTACCCAATTTGGTAAACTAAGCGTGCAGTTGTTGTCCTAACACACCTCTTCAACTTGATATGATAGGCTTATGAAAGCACAGACGCTTGGTGACACATCAAGCTTGGAGTTCATGAGAGGAAGAAGAATTTTTGAAATCAACCCCGACCACCCTATTGTCAAGGACTTGAGTGTAAGATACCCGCAATCTTTTCTTGCATATCATACCTATTTGTTGTTGTTCAATCACTAATGTATACTTCGTGAATAATAGGCTGCTTGCAAGAACGAGCCAGAGAGCACCGAAGCCAAGAGGGCAGTTGAGTTGCTGTACGAGACTGCCCTGATCTCCAGTGGATATACTGTAAGTACAAGATACCTATATGCTCTCGTTCATGGTCAATTATGATACATATCGCTCGTGGCCTAATGATTGTTGCTTTGTCTAGCCTGAGAGTCCAGCGGAGTTGGGGGGCAAGATCTACGAGATGATGACCATCGCGCTTGGCGGGAGATGGGGTAGATCCGGCACCGACGAGGCTGAGACCAATGCCGACGTCGACTCTTCGGAAGGTGTTGTAACGGAGGTCGTTGAGCCGTCCGAAGTCAGGACTGAGAACGAGAATGACCCATGGAGAGATTAGTTAGTTATGTAGGCATCCATTTTTTAAAAAAGAAATACCCTGGAGGTGGATGAGCAAAAAATAGAAGTATCACTGGAGCCAGAGTGATGATGACATCGAGCGATGGACTGTCTTTGTAAGAACACTGAGCTCCAGAATCTTTTGTTATCTCCCAAGGCTAAATTTTGTATTGGACTTTTTTGACGGCCGTGAAATTAATTTGTCTTTATTACTGTACTATATACGTATGTTTCATGCATTTTACCTGCCTACTCTTTTTTGTTTCCGGAAACTTGTATCAATGATGCGTAGTGTATACAAAAACTGTCATGGCTATTCTCTATCTTGTGTCAATTGTCATGGCTTCGTTCTTCGTGAACTCCAGTTTGTACTGCACGGGAGCCTACTTGTGTGCGCTGGGCGTCTTTTTCTCCGAGGAGCTCGGGAGCACCAGGGGTATTTGTTGTACGTGCGCGCTAGCACTCCTGTGGATTGTTAACAAATTTTCTGAACAATTGCCATGAAATACTGACTGTGATCACTTGCAACCCCTTCATGTTACGGACAACAAACATGACAGAAGTGACACAGTTCATAACAGACAAACAAAGATGATGCTAAAGCTGAGTAGGACAGCCCGGTTCTATCATGACAGAAGTGACACAGTTCATAACAGACAAACAAAGATGATGCTAAAGCTGAGTAGGACAGCCCGGTTCTATCATATACTCCCATCCGTTCCTAGATATTTTTCTTTCTCGATAATCCATTTGAACACTCTCACACACAACCAACAAATGACTAAATACGAAGCAAAATAAGTAAATCTACACTCTAAAATATGTTATATACATCCGTATGTGGTAATCCATTTAGACACACAATCAAAATATTATAGATGATCAGGCGCTCGGGCACAAAAGCACTCTGTTCACTTACACAAGGATATCCCCCGGTATTGAAAGGTGGATTGGGGATTACACATCTTATTGGCTGGGTACCCCCCCTCCATCCTTGTTTTGATTTCTTCCCCTCCATCTCCTGCTTTTTCACTACTTCTATCTAAAAACTGCCTCGGTAAGCCCACGTCTTATTGGCTTAGCAATAAAATCCTATTCTTTAAAACCAATAAAATCATTTTTTTTGTATGCTGTCACAGTAACAATAAAATGATAAGTAAATCATCGTGATTGAGTACACAATCTTATTAAAATTATACAAATAATGAATGCGCAGTTATTTGTTTGTCCCGTTCCAATGACCGAGTAGTAGTAAGAGTGATAGACGTATACCGCTGAAACACACAAATTAAAAAAGAAATATTCTTCCTTCGTTGATTAGAAAAATCCGAGATACTATTATTTTTCTTGAACATCAGTACAGACACAAACGCTCATATATACACGCATACACTCATCTCTATGAACGCATACACGCACATCCTATCCCTATGAGCACATTCAAGAGACTGAACCGGCATATCATCTTGAGATTTTACGAAGTCAGCGTAGGCGACTCGTATTCCAAGGAAACCGTCTCTCCCACTAAACGCACATCGCCGGAAATCCTGAAATAAATCCAGGATAAATGCGAGCACCAGAATTTGAACTCTGGTGTTTTTTTAAGGAAGATCTGAACTCTGGCGGCTGGGGATACCACTGTTCATCTAACCATCCAATCACAGATTGGTTGAAAAAAAAATCGAAGATACTAGCAGGCAACGCTACGTCTGTAACACGAGCTATCTGTACGGTACTAGTACAACGCCAGGTACACAAGGGGATCGCATCGACGGAGGGTACGAGCGCCTTTCCGTTTGCTTTTGACGAGGGAACCGCGAGCAGCCAAGGCGTGCGGCTGGCTCCTCGCCGCGATCTCTCTCCGGTCGCCTTGATCGTGCCGGCCATGGCGGAATCCGCCCAATCCCGCGGTAAGCTAGCTCCTCCTCGCCTCGGCCTCTTAATTTGTTATCAGCTGATCCTCGAGTCATGTAGGCATTGTCGTCGAATTTGGAGGGTTTCCTCCTCCTACAAACGTGGGTGTGGATTTGACCTTGCGACCTAGTGATTCCAAAAACTGTTGATGCCATTGCCCAAGAGCTGAAACTTCTGGATCTCGGTCATGTCGCGGCAGGGTGCCGTAATCTCGATGTCATTATTCTCAAGGGACCAATTGTCTGTTCCCAATCATAACCCCTCACTGTATTTCAGGCGACTCGGGTTCTTCGGCAGTTAAACGGAAGTGCCCACCCTGCCAACAAGATGACGGCGACGACGACCGCACCGGTTCAAACTCTCACAATGGAATCAACTCATGGAACAGCCTTTCCGAGGTACCTACTATACCTCCTTTCGCTACTGTAAGATGTTTTGGATATTTCAAAATAGACTAAATATGGACTGAAATAAGCAAACAGACACACTAAAACGTATTTATATACACTCAATTCAGAAAAAAGTTAGAACATCTTATCATTTGGGACGAAGGGAGTAATAGTTTGCTTTGACTGTATATTATGCTCCCAGACTATTCCAGTTCTGTTCGGTCAAAGGAATTGCAACATCGTTTCTCTTCTGAATTAGACCTTGTTAGTGGGGTGCCAAATATTCAGACGGATGTCAAGCTTGCTTTTATTTCAGTTGGTTAACCACACCAAGTTTGTGTTCCAGAAAAGAATGTTGCACTATTAGCCTAGTGATGCCATTGTCCTACTGTAGAAGTAAACATGCATCATCTCTAACCAGCTACTGACCAGTCATGTTCTAGTCCACTTTCTTAACACAAGATTATAGTGCCACTACATATGGATCGTTTTTTTTTTGCCCCACTACTGGTTATTGACGCCATCGTTCTGATATTATGATGCCAATGCGCTGATCGCCTCCCTTGCTTCTGCCTGCAGGATGTCGTGCATCATATACATGGCCTAATGCCGCTGCGAGACGCAGCACGTGCTGCGTGCGTGTCTCGATCATTTCGACGTTCCTGGAGACACTATCCTAACCTCACCTTCGGCATGAAAGAACTGGGCTTGATTGGAAAAGCAGCCACAGTGGACGAAGGAGCAATGGATCTTCTAAGCAGAACTGACCATATCTTTGGAAATCATTCAGGCATCGGAGTGAAGACGCTTGAGCTTCACCTCCCCTGGAAGTGGAACAGACTCGACACCTCTTACGTCGACAGGTTCCTCAAGGCTGCCATTGCACCCGGTATCCAAGAACTCACCGTGATGCTGCCCTTGTTCCGGCACTGCAGAACAGACTACAACTTCCCGTGCTCGCTTTTATCAGGCGAGAGCGGGCGGTCAATTCGGTATCTTAAACTCACCAATTTTATTTTCCATCCCACCGCCGGACTTGGTTGCCTGACGAGATTGCACCTGCGTCTCTTGTTGTGATGAGATCGTCTGCTTGAAGATACCTTGCCTGCTGCGGCACCTCAGGTCCCTGGAGGTGTTTCAATGTAAGATGCTACATGCAATTGAGAGCAATGCCCCAGATATCTCTAGTGTAGACCTTGGACTTGGCGACCAAGTGGATTTCTCACTCTCACTGGGAGATGGTTCATCTCAAGTGAAGCAGCTCCGAATATCACCTGCATCCCCAAGTTATGCTCTCGGCAAGCTTCCATCAATTACACTCGCTCTTGAAGCCCTTAACATATCGTTGTTGCCACACGAGGTATGCATAATCTCAGACTTTAGACCGATAATTCCTTGGTTTTGTATTCCATCTCCAGCGGATCCTCTAAACTTAAATTCCTTGGTTCTGCGATCAGCTATTGCTCTAAGGACTACTCCCTCTGTTCCATAATATAAGAACATTTTTCAAGCCATGTAAGCTTGAAAAACGTTCTTATATTATGGGACGGAGGGAGTAGTTGTTATGTCAAGTGACAAACTAATCTGATGCACCTCTTTCTTCAGCAGGTGAGCACACCAATGGTGCCTGGAAAATTCCACCACCTCAAGTACTTGAATATTTCTCTTCCGCTGTCTCGGCAGCAGATGAATATGATTATTTGTCTCTGTTAGCTTTTCTTGATGCTTCTCCTGCCTTAGAGACTCTCGTCTTGAGGGTAAGTCCTGTTATATAGCCATTCAACAATTGAGCATTATTACCGTTCCTTTACAAAGTCGGTTTATTAATTAGCTCAATTGTCATGCCTATTGTCTTTAGTTGATCATAGATTTCTATTTTTACTACAAAGCTAAGTAATTTAGAAAATAACAGTATCTCTTTTCATAAATACACGATACAGTAGAAAGCTTGCAATCAAACTTTGTCAACTCTCTTTGATATAGTTAACCATTTTGACTGGTCAGGTTACAGCTGTTCCATTATATTTGTCAGGGACCACTACACAAATATCATATTTTTATTAAAATAGTTATAGGAAAGTAACGGCCAAACATGCATATTTGAGATTGTAACAATGCTCAAAACATCATTTATTTGTGAACAAGTGGGAATATTGAGGTACATATACATAGATAATGCGCATCTCATGCAAATCTTGTCTTTGAGCCCATTTTTATTTTTCAGACGGTTCATCTAGAACTGTTGTCATCTTGTGAGAGTAGTTGACATTAACATATTGTGCCCTTGCAGTCAGCGAGGATTATGAACTGTGTTAACAGAGGCTACGGTAGGATTCACCGTGATGTTTCACATTTGGCGCGGGGGCAAGAATTTCGCCATGATAGCCTCAAGAATGTGACGATCTATAGTTTCTACTCTGCTAAGAGCATGATTGAGTTAACCTGTTGTATGCTGAAGCACACGGCTTCACTTGAGTGCCTGACGCTGGACACCACCTATGGTTACTCTAGGTGTTCCTCATGCAGAAGCGGCAGGTGCTTCCCCATGGACACGCGTGATGTCCTACAAGCCAAGAAAGCGCTCGTGGCTATAAGAAGATACATCAAGCCCGAAGTACCCTGTAATGTCAACTTGATTGTTGTGGAGCCTTGCAGTTCCTGTCATGTGAGCGATAACTGATTCTATACTTTTCTGTTTCAACTTAGAACTGCATATTTACATGGTATTAGAGATACGGAAAAAAAATGTCACTTGGCCAAGATTTTCACAAGACATGTTTGTTTTTAAACCGTTTACTGTTCACCTGGGGTCATCTGTGCTTGTGATCAGCTATGGATTACCAAAAAAACTGAGGTACTTCTCTGTGGTTGAGACTTTCATAGGATCTTAGTTGTAGGATCATTTAGCCGGCCTCATTATTACCATTACATGATGTACATAAGTGGGCATAGGTCTTAATAGTTAGTCTAGTATAAAACTTATATGGGTGTGGCTAGGTCTCGGTCGACTGAGATTTAACGGAGTCTCGGTCAAGTGGCATACCATGTAAGAAAGAAAAAGGAAAATCTTAAAAGAAAACTTTGCACGAATCTTAATGTATGATTTTACATATATAGTATCGACTGAGACATGACCAAGTGACTTAGCAAGCTGAACTTTTATTCACCCGGTCACATGATTGCTACATATTTGGTTTGTCTAGCCCGAGAGTCTAGCGGAGTTGGGGGGCAAGGTCTACGAGATGATGAGGTCGGCTGTTGTGAAGGTGCTGCAACGGAGGTTGTTGAAGCATCCGAAGTGAGCACTCAAGACTGAGAGTGACCCAGGCAGAGATTAGTTAGTGTTGTAGGCATTTTTCCAGCCCTCTTCTTGCACCACACTCAACCATAGATAACTATTGAATAAATATAACTTGGTGAAGTGAGCATGGGGGTGGGGGGCATATGACCCCTGTCCATTCCATAATAGTGCTAACGTCATGTTCTACAAATCACATTTTTTAAATTTAAGGGGCGGCAGCCTTCAAATCGACTCGGACAGGTGAATCAAAGGGCAATGGTGTGTGTCCTCCGCTCACCAACTTGAACCCCAGCACATACAAGTTTTTTTCTGAAAAAATATCGAATCTGTTATAAATATTTGTCAGAAGTACAAAGCACGTACGAGTTTCAAGTGTGTTCACCCTCTGTTTGCATCTTGGCATCAAGGTCCACGCCGCCTGACGTCTCGTCGGCCTTTAGGTTCTCAAACGCACACAACTTTTGGATGCCGACTTTCGACACGTACTAGTGTGGCTCCGAAGGCAAATAAGGGGAAGGGCAAAGCGAAGAAGTAGTGTACTACTATATGTTTATATATTTATAGTTAGACATTGCGTTGATTTACGCTGCATGAATTATATGAATGTGGGACTGAGATATGAGGAGACAACTTAGGGGGCGGACAAATAGGGGCCAAGCCCCTCCTGTCCGCGCGTCCACGGACATATAAGGGTAAAATAGTGCAATCTGATTGAAGATTCTCTTGTATTCTTCCCACTTTCTATGCCTCTTGTGTAAGTAGATGATGCGTCTGGTGTTGTCGTAGGAACATTGATAAAAGCGATGCATAGGCGATAAAAACCAAAACTATTGCAAAAAAAGAGAGTTTTCGCTCGGTTTATATTTTGAAAATAATAAAGCATATTAAAGAGAAAACTATTAGGTTGAAGCCAACTGGGTGCCTACATAACAAAAAATTGTAACATGACCTAAATATATTTGCTCCAACGTCCCAATGTATATACCATATATGCCCACACAAATATTCCTGAAACAAATTGACATACATGATTGCTGAGGTGGCATGGTTGCATGTAGGAATGAAATTGGAGCCGAATTTTTTAGTTTTTCTAGCGGAAAAATGAAAACGTAGAGGAAAAATGAAAGTGAAAAGGAAATTTTGCAAAGTGGAAACGAATTTTTGTGTGTGCGGAAATGAAATGATATTTTCCGGTGGAACAGGTGTAGAAACGAAATTTTCTGTTTCCGCTAATACGAAAAATCTCTATTTTGAATATGAGCACATGGCTGTTTTGTAGCCCAACAAACACACAATTAAACCGTACACACAATGAGCAAAATAGCCCAGATGGCCCAACTTCTACAGTACTACTACCACACATCGAGCATGGTAGAGAGCAGAACCCCTAACCCCTAATTGAGCATGCAGCCATCACTGACATATCCTATTATATAGCCATGATATATCACAAAATTTAGTAATCATCTTATCAATTGAACAACTTTGTTAGTTTCCTTGTTTTTTGATCTATGGTTCCAGGGGTCTTTAGCCTGTAAACGCTCCGCTTTTATCTCTGTGTCCGTGTCGTATTTGCTCCATTTTGTTTTCGGTAGTGTTCGCTTATGTATTGTTTCTAGAGGTTTTGTTTTCGTTTCCGTGTAAAAAAGAAAACAAATGTGGCAGCACCTAGTTTTGTCCGTTTCCATTTCGTTTTCATCCCTAGTTGCATGGATAGGACAGTGCACAAATTATAACTTATGACCACATGCATGACTTAATGTCGTGGTTGCGTGAAGAGAAAAAATAGGTTGTTGTGTTAAAAAAAAGGAAAAATAGGAAGAATAGAGGATTAACTCTGCTCACTACTTTTAAATTTAATAAATGGTTCAGCCTAGCATTTTGCCCGCCGTAGACCCCTCAAATAGTTACTCCCTCCGTCCCAAAATATAAGAGTGTTAAAAACGTTCTTATATTTTGGGACGAAGGGAAAATAATGTATGTTCGGAATGTGGATGGTAATATGCAACGGCAGACGATGAGACATGATGTGCTTCGAGGCTGTGCGAGAGCAGATAGAAGGGATCAGAGGCTAGCACTCCCGGGAGCCACACACACCCACTCCCCCCCCCTCTTCTGAATATAGCATTAAAAACATAGGGAAATCCTACCAATACCACATCCATCAATTCCCCATGAAAATGAACACCACCCAGGTATTGGTATCCTAAAATTTCAGTTTTTTTAGTGTGGCACCAAGAGGCACAAATCCTCATCCTTCCCAGGCAAATTTTTGTGTTTTGACCCTTCTCTAAAAGTTAATCGAGATCTGGCCCTAGTTTGCAAATATTTCGAGATCTGACCCTTTTGCTACCACCAGGATCCATGGCGATAGGGTGTAACATCCCTACCGCCAAACAGGCTAGCGGTAGCCCGTACAACCCTACCGCCGAGGTGCCCGGCGATAGACGTGAGTACGCACTGTGTCTCATACTTAGAAAAAAAATTGCGGTAGAGCATGCAACCCTACCGTCAGGGACCTACCGCCATGGACCCTGACGCTAAGAAAAGGACCAGATCCCAAAACAAATTCAAGGCAGGGTTTTGCACGAAATTTAGCCTCCTTCCCAATAGGGCTGCAAACGAGTCGAGTTCGAGCGAGTTGGATTAGGCTCAACTCAAATCATACTAAAATTCGAGCGAGCTCAAACTGGGTGAAGCTCAAGGTCGAGCGCTAGAAAGTGGCTCATGCTCAGCTTGTAACGATCTCGAGTCTATCTCGAGCTAGTTTCGAGCTAAATAAGATGATATTTTTAACAATCTAAGGCAATTTTTTGAACAAGATCGGCCACAACACAACCTCAGAAACTATTATAGAATATTATTTTAATCGAAACAATGATAATACTCCCTCCGTTCCTAAATATTTGTCTTTGTAGAGATTTCAACTAGTGACTACATACGGAGCAAAATAAGTGAATCTATACTCTAAAATATGTCTATATACATCCATGTGTGGTAGTCCATTTGAAACTCTAAAAAGACAAATATTTAGGAACAGAGGAAGTATATCTTTTTCAAGGTAGTTTGGTGTATTCTCTCAGTGAAGACAAGTAACTAATAGCAAGAGATCCTTGATGAATTGCCAAGAGAAGAAAACAAAGTTGGATCTACTCCCAAATGTTGACAAAAATAGCAGGATATTTAATACGCAGCTGACCATGTACCAAATTAAGGCCTAAATTTTCTCCGTGCTTAATTAAGCTTCCTAGTTTGCTAGTAGATAAAATGAAGAGAAACCATACACCACATATATGATAGTAAATAATCCTATTTCCTTTTAATTTATATCATGATTATGTAATATAATTGTATTATATCGAGCTATCGAGCTGAAATCGAGCGAGCCATGGTTGGCTCAAGATCAACTTGTTTCTCGATTGAGCTACAAAAAGGTGCTCATACTCGACTCATTTCTTACTGAGTCAATCACGAGTCGAGCCAAAAAACGAGTCGATCTCGAACGGCTCATGAGCATCGAGCTTTTCTTGACCTTGTCTATCCCTCCTCCTGATCCCTGACGAGGCAATCACACAAGTAGCGCACGGGCCTCACCGCTGCAGCCTGGCTTCGCCCCTGCCCGAATCCCTGATCGAAGCCCCGCACATGTCAACGGGGGCCGCCGCACGTGGAAAGGCCACGCCGTTCATTCCTAGCCACCGCGCAGTCGCGCACCGACGCCCCGTGGACACCACGCAACGGCAGGCCTCTGCTCTGACGAGCACCAGCACCAGCACCAGCGGCAGCAGCGTCAGGGCAACCAACCAGCAGACGCGTTCGATGGGTTTCTGCCAACGACAGCAGCAGAGCAGAGAAATCAGTGAGCAACAGCGGCCGATTAGACCCCCGGAACCCGACGTGCATGGCCTGTACCCGCCACAGTTCGCGGGGCGGCGGCCTTCAACTCGACTCGGACAGGTGGTGCGGGGGGCAAGGGCGCGTGTGCTCCGCCCACCACCAACCCGAGCACGGGCACGAGTTACAGACGTGTCCAGCCTCAGCTTGCACCACGGCCAGGGCAAGCAACCATCTGCTTCACAGACCTGCGGAGTGGTGGTCGTCGAGTTACTCCAAAGCCTTGCAGCTGTTCGTCGTCGTCGCTTGCCGCCGACTGCACCGTCCCCACGTGAACTCCGCGCTACGTCCCACCCTACCGGACGGTCGAGGGTGGTAGGGGTAGGTCGTCCGTGCGGTGAACCTGAGCGGCCCGGCTCTGATCGCCGTACTGGTGACCCGACCAGGTGCACATACGTGCACGTGGAGCAGCCAGCCACAGGATGGATGATGTATGTGCTCGTGGCAAAGAAAAACGCTGACTGAAGCACATGAAGAGGCAAGAAAATCCAGATATACATGCATGCATCGATCGTACTAGGAGTATCACCGGCCGGTCGCATCGATCGATTTCCTGTCGGCGTCGCGCGCACACAGTGTCGACGCAATCATACGGAGTTATTACAAGATGAAACGCAAGCAAAACTTTCTCAACTGCAAGGGTACAACCAGGTCGCAGGAAGAAGAAGATAATTTGGGACATGGGAACAACAAGGACCACGAGCTCCGGCCTCTTCATGTCTCCAAGCCCTTTTTCTCCCCGACGGAAGCTTCAGAAGCAAGCCAGGGTCGGGTTGTTCCTTTCTCCAGCTTGGAGGAAAGGATGTCACGTAATCAAGTATGGTATCCCTTTTACTGCTATCATTGTGCAGCATCCACCGAATCTAGCTATATGGATATGATAAACAACAGGCACGCCGCAATAAACATACTTCTCAAGCACTTTATCATGTTCCAATCAACCACATTTCACCATATCCACCACCGATCGACGCTCTTACCTGCAACAGCAGAGTTCTTACTCCCTCCTTCCGAAAAACTTATCATCAAAATGGATAAAAATAGATATATCTAGAACTAATATACGTCTAGATACATCCTTTTTTATTTATTTTGATGACAAGTATTTCCGGACGAAGGGAGTACTTACCAAGATGGCAACGATGAGAGTGGCAGCACATGACAAATCCAGTGGCTCTGGGCCTAATTGCTCGTCCACCGTCTACATGTAGCACGTACTACGTACTAATACCAAAGCAAACAAAAGACATGTTCTCCTGGTCCTGCAGACTGTTGTTGAAGTGGAGATACGCCGTGAGCAAGCTAGGCATTTGGCAGGCATGGATGACAGGCAGACACAGCGGCGACAGGAGGCCTTTTGAGCTATGCCAGCCTCACGCTTAACCTTGTAATCTAATGCTAATAAATCATGGGCTAACCAAACCCAGGCAGGCAGGTGCATCTAATCTCCCCCCAGGCCTCCCTGCCAGGCCCCCACCATGAGGGCGAGGCGCTACGGCCACATGGACTACAGATGGAAATACCTGTAACACTGCGTTGCAAGCAAAATGGTTTGCTCCTCCCTCCTTGGCTTTGGTGACAAGAGAAGAGAGGGTACGCAAATGGTTGGGGAAAGTTATGGGTGACAGTTGGAGCTTGCAAGGATAGGCCACCCTTTCCCATTTAAACACACTGTCATCCTTTCACCCCCAAACACA